AGAAGGAGAAGGAGAAGGAGAAGGAGAAGGAGAAGGAGAAGGAGAAGGAGAAGGAGAAGGAATTTCTCTAACTTTCCTTTCTGAAGTTTGGATTAGGAGCATCTAGCGTGGTGTTTCTCAATCTCAGCAACTCTAACATGTGTGGACTTCAACTCTCAGAATTCCTCAGTCAGCATGCTGGCTACGAATTCTGGAAGTTGAAGTCCAGACCTCTTAAAATTGTGAGGTTGAGAAACACTGTTCTAAAGTTACAAGAGGCCTGCCCAGTATATGAAGCAAGTACCTCCATGGGACAGGGAATCCAGTCACTTCTGATATAGGGGCAACCACTTAGTTCAGAAGAGAAGGCTGCCCCTATGCTGACCTCTCAGGACCCACTTTTGGTGAAGTCAAGAGCTTCCCAAATTTGGTAGGGCCAACATTTTCAACCAAACCTTTGTGGGGTGGGGGGAGGTTGAAGGATCAAAATGATTCAGTTCTACCACTGAGTCTAAAAACAGCTTTCGGGGCCCTACAGCACACATCTCAGATGAAGCATCCCATCTCACCATTAGTTACCAGTTAAAGAGCGACTGGTTATATCCAAGGGAGCAGAACTTCTCCTCCTGCTTGCACACACAAGGTGGTCCAGGGGAGAAGCAACCATGGATCAGGGGACCTTTTGGTGGATGGAACTGGGCTGCATCAAATCTAGGGTGACCAGAATTCTAGGGAATGCACCACTATGGATGACCACTAGGTGGCAGCCACATGTAAGAGATGTGTCTCTTTAGTGCCATCTAGTGACTGTCCTAGTCAATATGCACTGAAATTGGTCCTCACTCCCATTGTTCTACCTGAATTACAACATCCTCCATGGTGCACTTTGGCCCTTCAGCAGATCCTGATCAGATTGGTGGACTTTTTTGTTTTTAAAATTGAAGGCCCAGATCTGGCCACCTGAGCTGGTAGGCCTCCAGGCAACCAGAAGACCTGGCTTTCTTTTATTTAAACCTCTGAGTTATTCTGCATGTTAAAAGATAGAGAGAGAAATAATTCATCTGCTTTTCAGCTTCTTGAGTAACTCTCACCCTACCTTACCAGACCTGAGGGAGCAGAAAGATTCCTACATAAGCAGTTATTTGTGATCTGCTTTTTATTTTCTTTAATTTAAATTAGGTGACCGGGGGTAGGAGGATTTGGATGAGGAAATCTCTTGATACCAGCTTCTGATCTCGTCCCAATTTCCATAGCAACTGTTTTTTGGGCTCTGGTCAAGATGTTTGCTGCTTTGTGCAGCTGTGAGGTATATAATTTTAACTTCTTTTTGCAAAACCATAAATCAGCCTGTGCTTCCTGAAATCTTTTTTGGGTTCTTTTGGTCTCCCTCCCTTCAACTTCCAGGAGGTGTATTTTCCAAACTTTCAAGGGGGGAAAAGAAAAACCATGAATCTTGAAGGTAGTCCTCTCCCTGTTGTGTGAATTTGCATCTTTGTAGTGTTTGTTCTTCAACACACACACACACAACAGGGGAGAATCCTAACCCCTTGAGACACCTCCCATTTTATGCCTCTGCTTGAGCAACCCCCCTGAGAGGAAGGCAAAATTTATGGCAGGTATGTTAGTCTGCAACATCCCTCACGTAGCTGTTGAAGGCAGGGTTTATCTCCGAGGGCCACCTGCCCCTGAAGCATATGGTTAAATCATAAATAACACGGGCATTCTACACTTGGCAACACGCATTTATCCAGGCTAGTTAAAAACCTAGGGGCTGCATCTCCAGCACAAATTAAACTTGGTGAGTTTTAACCTTGGTTTGGTTGTAGTTAGAAGCTTAGCATATTGCATGAACAAAAGCCCTTTGGTTAGCTTGTGTTCCAATGTTTTGTGCAAACTTCGAAGCTGGATCAACGAACTAACCAAGTGAAAAGTGTTGTGCCAACACAGCGAAGATCTGTTGGAGCATTAGAATGTATTCTAATAGGCCAAGCGTATTTAATTAACATATTCACATGCAGCCTTTCTAAGCAAGTTGTTTCTAGAATGCACAAGCAACACTTGGATTCAGTTAATCACAACTACGTCTCGTTGAAATAAACAGGGCCAGTTCCTAAGATACTGCACGCCTCACTGATTTCCATCCTACTTCCTAGGAGTAATTTTTACTGAATGTCACCTGTACAAAAACAGCCATAACAATTCTGAAACTGAGCATTGTAGAAAATAGCAGAATTGTATTTTAATAACATTTGAAAACAATTGATACAGATAGCAAGCTAAATTAAACTTCTACATACCACATCTCTGTATCTCTCAAGACCAGAAAAGAAAAGAAAATTATTTATTAACATTTAGAGAAATGTTGTATTCTGATTTTAAATAAGCAATAGTTCCTTGACCTATGAAACAGGATGCATGATGTTTTAAAGATAGTATTGGCACTTGGTTTGGGAGTTGCCATATCAATTTTTCCAGAATCACTCCATCATGAGAAATACATCTAATGGTGTCACTTAACATTTTTTGGGAGGGTGAGGACTGCAGGAGGCATGGTTTGGCAGTATTAGGGCAACGGCTGCAGAGGACAAGGCATTCTCTTGTGACTGTGTGTCTACTTTGGCGTAGGGTCAAAAATTAGAGCTTCCCTTTAAAATGGAAGGAAATATGCTGCTGAGTCTTGACATAAGATGGAACTTCTAGGTAGTAGATCCGGGCTGCAAACATCCAAACCACCACCAGAGGGCAGCAGAGAGAAAGAGAACTGTTGCCATCTACTGGTCACCCAAGGTATTGCAGCCTAGATATAGTGGTCTTACATCATATGCCCCAACAAAGAAGTTTGGAGACAGATGCAACCTTGGGTCTTGCATGGTGTAAAGGAATTTAGAGCTGTCTTTGGAGAAAAACCATTAAGGGGGGGCTTGCAGAAAAGATTACACAGTCCAGAGAATGAAGCCAGCATGAGAAAGAAACTCAAAATAAACCTGCTTCTGCAGGGATTCCTGGATTGTTATTTTATTATTATAGGTTTAACAACAGAAACTTGAAAGCTTGTCTAAGTTTCTCTTTATTCCATCTTACAGGATGTAATTGCTTCTCTGTCTCCCTCCTTAATAGTTCTTTCACACCTTCCCCAAAGCCATCTCTTCATTCCTTTACAGATTGCTTGTTCCTAGTTTATACTCACATAAAAAAGCACTGCCAAAGACCTCTTTAAATTCTGCATTAAGGCAACATGTCAGCATCAATATTTTAGCCCAACGCTACAAATATCCCTCCTGGTGAACATTCCCAAGCACAGAGAAAAAGAACAAAGACAGCAACAGTTGCAAATCCATCTAGATTCCATACGGAATGGAGTAAAGATCGCGGTCCAACCTTATCTGGTTGGTTTGTTCATCAATGGCATCCACAGCACTTTCCACCGAGCTGAGCAAGGACTGAATCTGATTGGCCGTCTCTTTCAGCAGGAAACGGGTCACAAATTGGTCCACGTTTGTTCCTCGTTCGTACACCTGGGAAAGAGGAAGACAACAGAGTTCTCTGACAATCTTCCTCTGCGACAAACACAAATGCAACCTGCCTATCGAGAAAGGCATGACATTTAAACACCATTATTATACAGTGGAACCTCCGGTTACGAACGCTTCTGTTCATGAACTTTTCGGGTGACGACCAGCTCCGGCCGCAAAATTTTGCTTCGGTTCGCGAACTCCACCTCGGGTTACGAACAGGATCCGCGGCCATTTTCCGCCCCTGACACGTGGTCCACAGCCATTTTTCTGCCCCTGACACGTGGTCCGCGGCCATTTTTCTGCCCGACACATGATCCATGGCCATTTTTCTGCCCCTGACACGTGATCCGCGGCCATTTTCCACCCCTGACACGTGGTCCGCGGCCATTTTTCCGCCCCTGACATGTGGTCCACGGCCATTTTTCTGCCCGACACATGATCCATGGCCATTTTTCTGCCCCTGACACGTGATCCGCGGCCATTTTCCACCCCTGACACGTGGTCGTAGGGAGGGGGACTCTCCCTCCAAGCAATAGCCGCCTCCCTGTCCTCCATGCCAGAACAGATTAACGATAATTACATTGAACCTTATGGGAAAATTTGCTTCGGGTCCCGACCAATTCGGGTCCCGACCAGAGTCATGGAACGAATTAAGTTCGTAAACTGAGGTTCCACTGTATCTCCGAAAGTATGTTCTCTTTGAGATGATCCAACTGCAGTGGGAGGATTTCCCACCAACACCCTTGTTTCACTAAAATAGTTTAAGGATTCTTTCTTCTGTTTCTGACTCAGTTTGGTTTGGTCTGGCTTACTAAATGTATGGATTGCGTTCTCCATTTACCAGGAGTCAGGAGTGATGCTCAGTAAAATATAAAATCAAGGGACAGAGGAATAGTAATACAGTATGAGGCATCCAATGATCAGGACAGCCCTAACTATCCAACAATGGAAAGGAAGATCTTCAGAGGAAAGTTCACCATGGAGGTGCCACTACTAAAAAGGCCCTGTCTCAAGTTCCTACCAATGTAGGCGAATCTCTAACTGAACAAAAGTGATGAGTGAAAATTCCAGGCTGATGCTTGGTGGTCGTTTCTTGTGAAATGAGATTTCTAGAGAACTATGGTCCAATGGCCACTCAACATTCTCCGACATTTTAATGGGCTAAGAAACAAAGAGGAAATTCATTGCTCTGAATTTGTTTTGTTTATCTTTTTTGGAATCAACCACGTTCCTAGAGCAATGAGCATCACCATGATCTAACATTACCATAATGGGTGGAATTATCTATGTTTAGACTCTCAAGTTCTATATTATATATACAGTAATAATTTACTACCATAAAATTAAAAAGAAAACAAAATTATGCAACCAGTGAGCAAAGCAACCAGTGAGCTCAATACATGACTCTAGGTCATGCTGGCTGGGGAATTCTGGGAGTTGAAGTCCACCCATCTTAAAGTTGCCAAGGTTAAGGACACTGCTCTAGGTTAAAACACAGTTGGATAATTTGTATTCCTTTTATTATGAGAACCTTACTATGGTCTTAGCATGTTGTGAACATAGGAATTGCATTTTGTTAATCCTGGCTTACAGTTCAGTGAGTTACACGAACCCAGACAGCATAAAAAAAAACTAGACTTTATAGTGTTATAAACCCAGAACGAAGAGTTGCTGCAGACAAGAATGGGGGGAGCCTGATTCCAAATCTGACCTGCACATTTCGTAATGCAAATCTTGTAAGGATGTTTCAACCGAGGCAGAGTGGAAGAAGGCACGTAACACAAAGGGCCTGTCAATGGGATTTGTTCCACTGGATGAAAGAAGCAGAAACGTATAACTTCCGATGCCCAAATGGGAAGCAGGCGTGCTTTGCAATAAACACGGTCTCCCCATTTTTCCCTTCAGAAGAACAGCTGTGACTCAACATGACAGTCATTGACAATCTGAAATGGAGGGTTAGTCTCAGAGCAAGGGAGCTTGCCATAATCTTTCCTAATAATGAACTATCTTGTGCAGCCAGAAGGAAAGGCTATTCCTCTGAGAAATATATTTGGTCCAGATGATGAAATATATATCCTGTTTATCCCTTCCTCCCCCGCTTCTCCTTCCTCTACTACCCACAATTCTGTATTTGCATTACATCTGAAGATGCATTTCACCCTCTTATATTCTTGCAGGATTAGCTGTTATCAACAGATTACCTAAATCCATCCCTCTGAAGCTGAGTTTCATCAAATGCATCTCTACGCAAGGATTAAAACCCAGATTCTTGTGCTTTTCTTCCCATGGTGAAGGTTTAAGCTTTCCTTCCCTCCACCTTAATAATCCTACTCCAAAGCCACCCCCAAATGTGATCACCCTTTCAGATGTTGATGGGTGTCATACTCTAAGATGTCTGGCTATCACCCAGTTGGGAAAATCTGATGCAGCTCATGTCAGCTCCCCACTCTTGAATAAACTGCAGTTTGGCAGTAGTCTCTTTCGTTTAATTAAAAGAAAAAGAAAAAAGAACAGCTAACTAATATGTGTACACTGTACGGGGTTATTTGGGGGGGGGGACTTCAATGTCAGTGCTTCAATGTTATGTAATCTCTTCTGCTACAAATCGAGAAGAGGTTTCTTTTTTCTTCCTTTTTTCTCTTCCCCCGCCTTTTTTTTAATGTGCAAAATTTTTACATCAGGTCCTGGATGATTGTAAAGTCTTCTCCATGCTTGGAATGTGTCTGAGGCTGAGGGAATATTGCATCGAGCAGTTCTTTAGTTCCCCCTAATGTAACTTGCTTAGGTCCCTCTGTTACTGAAAGTCACTTGGTTGACACGGAGGCCAATTCTGCAAGCTCCGAGACAGAGAATTTTCAGCGTTAGACTTCTCCCTCTAAGGTCAGAGTTCTTCACGTTAGAGGGAGAACTTCAAAGAGAGTCCGAGATGTTCTCCTATGAAGTGGGGACAACAGGCTTAAGCAGCGAAATAGTCACTTGTTACCTTCCTTATATTTGGCAATGTCTTAGGGCCATCCCGGAGCCAATAAGCTCTTTAGGATTTGGAGACTGCAGGCTCAAACTAAGGTGATATACCAAAAAGGATTTTATTGAATCAATATTAATAGAGAAAGCAAAATATATAAATTTTTGTCCCTTTTCTCCCCAGGAACCCCCCAAATGGCAGGGTGTAGACCCACTGAAACCTTTTCTTTCTGAAACTTTAGGTCTATCCTGAGGTTCAAAGTGTCTGGTGCCTTTTGCCATTTTTATACTTTCCTTTAGAGATGGGGAGTGTGACACTTGGAGATGGCTTGGTGGCATATCTTATCAGTGACTTGTTCACAGCTTCAGATGGTGGACCTGCTCCTATTTTTAAGTTGCCCAGAAGTCCTCACAGTTGGTGCATGCAGATGGTCTGATGGCACTTCTGGTCAAGAACTTGGGAACTCAGGCATGGGACCCTTAGCTAAGAATGTTTTTATGGGAAACATTGTTTCTGGTGTGCAGACACTTAGCAGGAATTAGATGAGGGAACTCATGCTGTTTTTCTTAATGGTTATAAGTAGGAAGTAGATAAAAGTCTCTAGGCGAGAATGATTTACAATACAATGATGCAACCTGCAAATCTTGCTAAGATACACACATTTAACAACAACAACAAGAAGTATATTTGACACGTGCAAAGGGGAATAAGGGTCCTCCATCATTCCCTCTTTGCCAATTTTGCCCTTACAGCTGTAAATGACTCAAAACGTCTTTTTTCAGTGTCCGCCATGGACATACATTGGACAGGTGTGACAGATGTTTCTCTTTGGGGGATATAGAAGTTCTATTTGCCTTTAGTCCATTGGAGCTAATAATTTCCAGATGGCCAAAAGTGGTGTGCTCTTAGAGAGCCATGTGTCATGCTGCAAGAAGCAGACAAATGTTCAGAGCCACCATGTGAATCCTTAATGAACTAGTTTGATCACAGATTCTTTGTTATTCATTATTGTAATGATTATTTCTAAATTGCAAGTCTTGTGACTGGAAAATATGGGTGCAGAATTTAAAAGAGGTGCCTACAATGTAAATCAAGGGAACTGGTTCACAACTTACTTAATCAGTTCTTGTCTTCCTGGGCCAACCAGTTTAAAAGGGAATTCAGCAGTGGTGTCTGCAGAGTTGATCAAAAAAGTCAAGATGGTGGCCCCAGCAGTGCAAGTGAAGTTCTGCTCATTTTCTATGTGTGTGGCCCATGAGATGCACCTAAAAAAACTGGTGGGGCTTTAATCACACTGTGGCCACTCTGATGACTTTTTTGACCAAATCTTGAACCCCCGGGACAAAGGAAAAGCTTGTGATAACTCTCAGACTGCAGACCATTCAACAGTGAATTTCGTTTTCTTTTTTCCCCATTACAAGATATTGAAGACATAACATTGCAGATCCTACCAAGAAGTATTATCACAAGCCATATGCTTGCTCTTTAGTAATTTTTTCCATTCTTCTCCTTACTTCAAATGGGCTGTGTGCACACAACATGTTGAACCTGTTTAATTAAAAAGCTAGTAACTCCATTCATACAACATGCCAGGGTTGGTTGGCTTTCATGCTGATTAGTGTACTGTAGCTTAGCATGCTGTGCAGACCCAGATAAGCTTGGTTAGTTTATGATTGTTGTTATTAGGCATATTCAGAAAACCAGTCAATTCAGCATCAAGTTAAGCATATCGGGTCAAGCCAACCACCATATAATTATAATAATAAAGCAAGGTGCGTTAGGAAATTATTACTATTTTTGTAAAGGAGAACAAGCATTTGCAGAGGCAGACAGCCAACAAACTTTGACTCACCTAGGCAGTGTTGCTGGGGAACCATGTTTTGAGAGCTGGTCAAGATGCTACTGCCTACTGGAAAAACATGGCTTTGTGGCGCAGAACTGTACTAAAATGCTCCGACACAAAATATGTCCAGGAAGGCTGTTTCTCAGGGAGGAATAGGGGCAGCTCTTTTGATTACAAAGCCAGGAGAAATGC